GTTTTGTTTTTTTGTTTTTTTTTGGTTTGTTTTTTTGGTTTTGTTTTTTTTAGCTGAGCCATCCTGCTACCTATTGGCAGCTTAGCAGCAGCTCAGCTCGGGCCAGGCATCGAACAGCTGTTGCTCAGAGCTCAAACTCTGAGCGAGCTCTTAAACCAACTGAGCCACTCAGCTGGCCCTGTAAAACGTTTTGTGATGACGATGAGTATGATTATGGATACTGCATTAAATGGAGAAATCAGTGCTGCATATAAACTCTGGATACCAGAAGTACCACTGAGCATCCAAGTCTGGAACAGAGGTGCATCTTATTGACTCAAGAGTAGTTAAAAAAAAAAAGTTTGCAATGTTTAATGGAAATATGCATTTTGAAATGCTAAATACCAGTGTTTACATAAATAAAAATGATTTGCAGTCTATTTTGTCTGTTCATTGACTGCTCACTTTCTTTGTATTTCAGAGGGATGAACATATTAATTAAGCAAGGGAACAGACTTTAATTATGCTTATGACCTCATTATGGCCCTTTAGCCACCCAGAGATTCATGTTACTTATCTGAGTTGCTCTGCTTCTTCTCTAAATATATCTATGTGACAGTATTGCCAGCTTTAATATGGTGACTGGGACTATCTTCATATATCCTTTTGTGCCACATCAAAATCTCTATATATGTAGCCTTAAGTTTTTCTTAAAAGAAAATGCATGTTTTCTCCCTTTCAAAGGTGAAGACTTCCAATTTTTGCTTGCCTGATTATTTTTGTATGGTTTTAACCAATTCCTGTGAGATGACAATTTGAAGTGACACCATTTAATAGTTCTCTCAGTAGGGCAATTAAATGCTCTTCATGGCACAGCAAAGGGATAAATGACAAAGTCTAAGAGAGAGAGATTTTTTGTCCATGCAATTCTTTATTCAAATAAAATCCCACAAGGAAGTTCAATAATAGGTGAGGTGATCTTGTCCCAGCTATTTCGAACTTGCACAACCATTATTATTATTTATTGAATTTTCGTCAGTTAAAATTTTATGGAAAATTATTTTCTCTCTTCTATTTAAGTCTGTAACATAGCATCCTTAATTTTGCATCTTGGCAAGCAAAGCCTGACATATTTACCTTTTACAGAAAACGTTTACTGACCATTACATAAAAAGAATCAGTTAAGTTTCCAGGAGTAAAATGTGGTTCCTAAAGCATCGGTCTTAGCACCACCTGAGAACTTGTTAGAAACTCAAATTCTTGGGGTTCGGACTTGCTCAATCAATAAATCTTTGAGGTGGGGCCCAACGATCTGTGTTTAACCTGCCCTCCAGGTGATCATAATGCACAGAAAACTGTGCTAACTGTAGCCTTCAAATGCCCTTACTATTGAATTTTGAAGCAAAATCATGGTCCTTTAATTTTTTAGTGAATTTGGATCAAACTTTTCAAGACCCCTTGACATTACTGATAAAACATACTCAAGTAGAGGTAAAAAGATGCCAAGTAACATATTTCTTTCTTTGGAGAAGACATGCGCAAAAGAAAAGTGTACAAAGCATCTTTGGATAAAGTAATTAGAATTTGGTCTTGCATATTGGCTGGTCAATAGTTGTTGTTCGACCAAAATTCAGTAAAAATAAACTCTGTGTATGCCTTTTTTCTATTTCCTCAGTTCTTATCTTTCATCTTGTAGTGCTCTAGAAGATAAAAATTCCTGAAAAAAAGCCCATTTTAATGTCACTTGGAGAGGTATATGAAGTAAAGCTGGCTATAAAACTGTCTTAAATTTTCTTTGTGTGGAAATTTCCATACAAATAATGTTCTGCCTCCCTCTCCCTCGCTCCAAACCCTTCCCTTTCTCCAGTCACTGTCCCTCCACTTTCTCTTAGGAATTTTAAGGTTAAAAATATTTAGAAGCAGTAAAAAGACATGTGCTAATAACCAATTTTCTTTAACTCTCACACGTACTCATATTTTGGACACAGAATGTGGTTGTGTTGTATTGAAATGGCAGTCCTGATTTTCTTGCTGATTCCAAGAATGGTATAATGGGCAACTGAAGAAATATAGTCAGAAGAGCCTTCAAGTTTTCCTCAGTTTTCACTAATCTTTAGACAGATTTCTTCCTGACTATATGCTCCTGATTTCCCTTTTGTTATTGAATTTACTTTAGCAAACTTGCAATTGTAAATTTTTTCTCTGTTCCTTTGAAATATATGTAATTTCCCCCCTCCCCACCCTCTTGTCAGTTTTGCAACACAAGAAAAGTTTTTTTTCGAAGAGCCTGAAAATCATCATTTTGAAATATACATTATTCAATGGACATAGCTCACTTATCGCTCAGTCTTTGGGGGCAGGCCAAGAGCATATCTTCAATGGGTGCCAATTATCAAACACCATGTCCTAATCACAGAGAAATGCATTTGCAAACTCAAGGATAACTCAAAGTGCTCAAGGTAGCCCACTGATCACCCTTCTCCCCCTCTTATCTTCCTTGCTTTTCTTCTTGCTTACATGAAAGCTAAAAATCCTCCCACCTTTGGTTTCATTAGAATTGAGTTCAGCCTCTCCCCTATTGCAATACTCTTGAATAAAGTCTTCTTTGACTGTTTAATTTTGTCTAGTGCAATTTTTACTTTGACAAATAAACTGACAAAAGTTGAGATTGTGGGCTTGAAGAGTTTGTTTAGGAAATATCCTCTCCAATATGGTTCTGATATTAATCAGCACTAAAGAGATATGGTTTAGAAAAATTCCTTTGATGACAAAATGCCGAAAATGCCATGTGAGTTACGCATATAAATATGAGAAGGTAATGGAGACTATAACAATTTTCCTAAGAATGGCCAAGGAAGACTTCAGGTAGAAGATGATATTTGAGTGCAGGAACCACCATGTATGTTTAGATTATCAGATATCCCTAAGACCTGGCACAGAGATTGACAAAGATAAGCACTTAATACATTTTTATTGAATGAGCAAATGCATAGATGGATGCATACATAAACAATGAAGAGTCAAAGACCCTACCTTGAGGAATACTCATATTTAAGAGTATAACATGTAAAATAAGAGGACAGGACATTTTCAGTTATCATTGAAATACGGTTAGAATTTAAAAAGACATTTTCAGGGCCGGCTGAGTGGCGCGATGGTTAAAAGCTGGCTTGGGATGCCAGAGGGCCCCAGTTCGGATCCCACATGTGAGGGCCAGTGACGCTGCCCTCCACAGCTGAGATGCTGGACGACAACTCAACCTGGAGCTGGGCTGCCGGGAGTCGCCAGCGACGGCGTGGGCTGTGGCCCCTGCTGCAGTGGGTTGCCATGGGCTACCTTGTGTAGCCAGCAGCTGCAGTGAGCGGCCGTCCAGAAGCAAGCAACTGATGTGCCTCGCCCGGGAGGAGTGTGGTGATGGTGCCAGCTTGGGCCAGTGGAGCGGCATCCTCCACAAATAGACTGAAGAACAAAACGACAGCGGCTTGTCTGTTCCCCTTCCCCCAGTTCCCCAGCGCTGTTCCCATCCCCTCAATTTCCCAATAAAAAAATCTTAAAAAAAAAAAAACATTTTCAGGAAGAGTAGTCACAGACAATGCTAAATGATATAGGGCATCTTGGTGTTTTGAAATAAAGTGAGCACAGAGTTGTATCAATTATTGTAAAAATCTGCTCACAAAGGATTACAATTCAATGTGAGAGCATAAATGCTAACATTCAGGAAAAAAAAATTAATTCTTTGGCACAGTCCTCTGATTGAATTCTGTGTTTGTCTTTGCCAGGCTAATTGCCCTCTATTCCTGAGACATAATGGCAAAAAGGTTCCTGAAAAATGCTAGTAGCTAAGGTTCTTTTGATCATTTTGCATTTCTTTAAACTCTTTGTCATATTGCTGAAGCTACTGAACTTCTTTTACTTTCTTAACTTTCATTAATTATTAGCTCATTAGATTTTTTATATTTATGCATTTTAATTAAATGTCTTAGCAGCAGCAACTTCTTTTTATCTAGACTGGAAATTTAAGTTTATATACATTTAAAAAAAATTAACGTCTTTACTGAGGTAAAAACAAATAAAATGTCCATGTTTTATGATAAATTTGATGCTATTCTTTATTATGTACCCATGAAACCATCACCCAAATCAAGATAGTGAACATGCCAATCACTCCTGAAAGTTTCTTCATGTCTCTCTACCTTCCATCCCTTCTTGCCTTCCACCCCTACTCCTTCTTGTCTCTTCATCTTCCCAGGCAACCAATGATTTGCTTGCTTTTGTTTCTATGCATTAGGTTCCATACAGTGAGTACTTTAAAAATCTGATTCATTTTACTCAACATAATTATTTTGAGGTTCATCCACTCTTTTATGTCTATCAATATTTTATTCCTTTCTATTGTTGAGGAATAATCAAGTGTATGTATATATCTCAATTTATTTTTTCACTCGTCTCTTGATGAACATCTGGATGATTTCCAGATATTGGCTATTACAAATAAATGTACCGTGAACATTCCTGTGAAGTCCTTATGTTTGCATATGTTTGCCTTTATTTCTCTTGGGTAAATAACTATGAATAGAATGGCTGAGTCATATGGTAGATGTATGTTTAACTTTTAAAAGAAACTACCAACTCTTCTCCAAACTGTTTGTAAGGTTTGATATATTCACCGTTAGGCAAGAGAGTTACAGTTTCTCCACATAATTGCCAACAGGCAATCTTTTTGGTATTTTAATTGGGATTGCATATAAATCAGTTTGGGAAGAATTGATATTGTAAAACTATTAAACCCTCCAGTCCACTGACATGGTATAACTTCCCATTTACTTAGGTCTTTTAAAATTCCTCTCAGCAATGTTACGTACTTTTCAATATATAAGTCTCAACACATAATTTATCAGATTTATCTCTATTTCATATTTCTGATGCTACTCAGTAATGTTTTCTTTTAAAATTTTTGTTTCTGATTATTTCTATCACATACAAATACAGTTGTGTTTTTTTGGTTTTTTTGCATTTTAATCTTGTATCCTACAAACTTGCTAAACTCAATTATTTATTTCAGTAACATTCTTGTATATACTATCAAATTCCCTAAATACTGCATCATATAATCTGCAAATAAAGACAGTTGCTTTTCTGTTCCAGCTGGGATGTCTTTTTCTTACCTTATGGTGCTGACTAGAAGCCTTCAGTACAATGTTGAATAGAAGTGATGAAAGCAGAAATATTTGCCTGGTTCCTCACCTTAGGAAGAAAACAGTCAAGTTTTCACCAT